GTAAGGAACAGAGGTGGAGAGGAACAACGTGTCTACGTACATGCACTCCCTTAGGATAGGGTGAGGGAAAAGAGTAGGAGCTTGCACCTTTACCAGCTTTGAGAACACTTTAATGATCAATCATTATAAAACACATCATATGTATTATTCTAAAAATGGACCAATCTGCACAATGAATACTTTTACTTTGGGTACTTTAAGGATATTTTGATGTTAATACTTGTGTACTTTTACTTGAGTAACATTTTTGATTGCACGACTTATACTTGTAACAGAGTATTCCTACACTTTGGTACTTCTACGTTTACTCAAGTACAAGATCAGAGTACTTCTACTTTTACTGAAGTATAAGATCTGAGTACTTCTACTTTTACTGAAGTATAAGATCTGAGCAATTCTACTTTTAGTTAAGTACAAGATCTGAGTACTCCTCTGACCTCTGATCACTTAAAGCTAAATAAACTTTGAATGGAGAAACTGTCAGATAGCATCAGGCCAACAACACCTCTACTTTTAAAACAGCCCTTAAGTCATTATTTCTTTAATTAAACTAACACACAATAGTTTTACTATCTTTAACAACCTCACTCCAACAGTTTTAGTGCACTATAACACATATTATGACGTTTTATTCGCACATTAGCCGTTAGCTTCACTGTTTGACAGCGTTGATTTGTAGCTGCTACTTAGCTAAGCTAACATGCTAACTGTGCGACAGACTATTGAGTCCGTTGTCTTCTTACCCGCAGATCCTCGCTTCAGCTTTATGTCAAACATGTTGGATGGCAGGGAGCCGTTCATGTTGTAAAAGATAGCAGACAGATGTTTAATAAGAAGAAGAAGGGACAAACTATTTATCCGAAGGTGAACTCATTGAGGAGTTTCGTTTTCTTCCTCCGGAGGATGTGCTGCCGCCTGACGGACAGAGGCGGAACCTTTGAATCACTTAGAAAATAATCCGGACTGCTAGGAAAACCTTTCAATAAATCGATATTACCCTTTATATACACAGTCTATGATATTCCCAGAGGTGGAAGAGATACCCAGGTCCTCTACTTGAGTAAGAGTAGAAATATGATAAAGAGTACAAATTAAAAAGTCAAAATTCTAAAATAATTCTGAAAATCTCTGAAGTCTTAAAAAAAGTCAGCGTTCTGAAAAAATGGAAAAGAAGTCATAAATCCCTCCCAAAAGTCAGAAAGCCGAAAAAAGTCAAGATCTAAAAAGTCAGATTTCAGAAAAGTGATGAATTCTAAAAGACATTGAGACTTCTAAAAAAGTCTGAATTCTGAAAAAAAGTCTGAATTCTAAAATAAGAATCTCAGAATTGAAAAAAGTATTCATAAATCTTTAAGGTCAAAATTCTGAATAGTCCAAATCTATAAAAAAAGTCAGAATTGTCAGAGAAAGTCAAAATTCTGGAAAAAAGGACATCAGTGTGATTCTTCTAACGCACAGAAATAAAACCCGTACAGAAACATTCGTAACAGGGAAACTATTATTTATTAAGTGCACAGGCAAGCAGCTCATGAAAAGTGTACAATACTCTGAATCAAACAGTCAGTCCTTTTTTATTTGTTGCCCTTCATTTTTTATTAGCATACATTATCTCAAAAATATTGTTCCACCTTTATCTTTGGCAACATTAATTTGAGGCTCGCTTTTTAAGACTTCAACATGAAATCAATCATTCGTAAAACCTTACCCTCGGGAGGATTAATACTGAGGAAAGCAGAGTATAAATATATTTGAATAAACTTCATTATGGACCTGCTGAATGTAAAGAGGGGAAAGGTTTCAGGCTCACACTCTCATGCATTAAAAGGCTGATCCAGATCCAAAATACAGCAAACTATTGGTAATATCCAGCTATTTCTTTATTAGGTACATGTTAGTATTTCTAAAAGGGAAAGTTCATGGCAAAATTAGAAACAATTTCTCGACTAACTTCAGTGCTTATCATCCAAATCTAGAAAGTTAAAGTGTGAGTTGCAGAGGATTGAAGATTTCAGTCACAGGAGGAACTATTTTCCTTCGACCGAAACTACACCCACCAAAGAGGATGCTTCTTTCTGCGTAGTGACAAGTTAGAAAGAAAATGATCCCCACATGAAACGGCTCACATAATCTGAGGGTTATATTTATTAACAGTCATGACTTTTTGGAAAGAGACATAGCTGTTGATTTTTTAATTTTTTTTAAACGCTTTGAGAACCACTACGATAAACTCAGACCTGATTTTTATCTTACATGCACACAAAGCATAGACCACACTTCAGGAGAGGGAAAACATCAAAAGGCATGACGGAGCGTACATTCCCTCGGATCTCAACCACTCACACTAAAACTAATCTAAATTGATAAATAGCACTATAAGTGAGTGAACTGTCCGTTTAGACAGCCTGTTATATATTCACTACTTTACTATTGTTAAGTCATAAAATAAATCTGATTGTGAGTTGCAGAAAAACGAAAAATTCATATCATCCAGCAAAAGAAAAAACATGTGTAGACCTGCGTTAATCTGCCTAACGACCGAGTGCCAGGTGAGCACTTCTCTGAATCTTATGAACCCTCCGTCAGAGGAAGGGTGTGTGCAGGTCTCCGGAGCAGCGAGTGTGCAGCAGCTCTGGGGTCAGATCATGTTGGGGGCCACGCTGTAGAGCACCATGTCCCCCTGCACCCTCAGCAGGGTCACCTCCTCCATGCCCCCCACTCTGTGCTCGAACTCCAGCAGGTGGGAGCCGTCCACCGCCACCTTAAAGCAGTCCTCGTCCACCAGGATCTTCAGCTGAAGGGGGGGCAGAACATACACTTTAGATCAGGGGGGTCCTAACCTTTTTCACAGAGGGCCACATACAGAACAATATACGAAGGTCTGGGCCGCTCACTAGAGGTGTATCGCCTCATAAGTTCAGTTATAAGTTAGCAAAAGCAATCAAATGTAGGTGAATGATGCTTATGAGCGTTGGCAGCTCATCCCTTAAAGCAGAAGCCTCAGAGTGATTATAATAAGGAGAAATATGAAGGGTGTATTTCAAGCTTGTTAATAAGTCATTGGGCTTTTTTCTTACGAAGATATGTTAGAAAATGTTTCCAACTTTAATTGACAGAATTTATTTGAAAAGTGGTCTTATTAACACATGAATACTACTGTGTGTAATATATTGTTATATTTATATTTAAGAAGCATAATATAAGATAAGCGTTTCATCTGTGGGCCATATTCCATTATACTTTTTTTAATTTGCTGAGGGCAGATTCAAAAAGGTCCGCGGGCCGCATTTTGCCCCCGAACCGTAGTTTCTACTGCTTTTGAACAACAAGCCAAGCTATCACAGGTGATGACACAGGTTAGTTGAATACTTGATTGTGATTGGTCGATTTGGACAATCATCAGTCTGCTAAGGATGCTCTGATCTATTTGCAGTCAAATCCATCCACAGAAAGAAGTCCGGTCAATTAAAGTTCAGCTGTGGCCAAAAAACATTTGTTTTCCTCCATCAGAAAAGACCAGGAAATCATTTTGAATATTATTTTTCTTATTTGCGGAGAGCAGGAAACTTTGGATTCATGATGGCTCAAATTAGGAAAATAATTGGCGGACTAATTTTAGAGTTATCATAGTTACGAGAACTCATGTTACTTGTGTTATTATTAGAATCAGAAAGCCTTTATCTGTCCCTCAGTTGGGAAATATACAGTGTTGTAGCAACAAGGTAAGGACACAAGTAGATAAAAGGAATAATAGATATCTGTCTATTCGAGTCAGTGAACGTCTGC